GACCAGCAGGGGACCAGTAAACATATAAAAGGTGAAAGGACTTCAGGAGAGATGGGCTGAGTAGAGGTGGGAAAGAGGTGTGTGTCCCATCTGACTAGACAGAAGATCCCAAAAGGGAGATGGGAGTGCGCTGAGGTGGGAAAGGTGGACTGCAGTTTGGAGAGGCCCTGGGTACCCACCCACAGACCGGATGCTAGGATGAGAGAGACAGCCTCAGGGGTCTCAGCAGAGTCCCCGGTTGTCCTTATTCTCTTCATTAATAGTTCTCCTACCTGTGAAAAGGAGCCTTTATAGGTCTCTTTTCATTTTGTTTGTGTTATCAAGTCAATGCTGATAGCCCAAAGCTGGAAGCCTCCCAGATGTCCATCAACCAGAGAATAATTAGACACATTGTGAATAGTTATGTTGTATGACAAGAAATGAGCTATTGCTGCAGTGAAAGCCATGAGGGACTCTTTAAGAGAATTCCTGCATAAAAAAGTGCACACCATTCATTTAAGTTTCTAGGGCTGGCTAAGCCAGCCTATGGGAGAGCCGCTTAGAGCAGTGACTGCCCCTGGGGCAGACAGAGGGCACATGAGAACTTTTGTGGGCGATGGAAGTGCTGAAAATCATGGCTGCATGCATTTCTCATAACACACTGAATGGTGAAATTATGATTTGTGAATTTCACCAAATGGAAATTTCATCTGAAAGTAAAAGACCCATGAACCACAATTGACCCCTATTTAACACGTACCAGATGTCGGTTGGAGTGTTTAGGAGTGAAGTGCACTAGCTTCTGCAGCTTACGTTGTAGTTCATTAAAAAAAAAAGATAGTATCATATATATATATATATATATATATATATATATATATATATATTATTGATTTTTTACAAAGAAGAAGGGAGAGGGATAGAAAGCCAGAAACATCAATGAGAGAGATCGATCAGCTGCCTCCTACACACCCCCCAGTGGGGATGTGCCCACAACCAAGGTACATGCCCTTGACCGGAATCGAACCTGGGACCCCTGAGTCCGCAGGCCGACACTCTATCCACTGAGCCAAACCGGTTCGGCTTTTTTCTTTTTTTTTTTAATATATTTAATTGATTTTTTATTTTATTTATTTTTTTATTTTTTTATTTTTTTTATTTTTTTAACAGAGAGGAAGGGAGAGGGATAGAGAGTTAGAAGCATCCATCAGCTGCCCCCTACACACCTCCTACTGGGGATGTGCCCGCAATCAAGGTACATGCCCTTGACCGGAATCGAACCTGGGACCCTTCAGTCCGCAGGCCAACGCTCTATCCACTGAGCCAAACCAGTTAAGGTATCTTTCAACTTGATTGAGTGATTGAAAACTTTCATAATAAAATGCTGAGCAACAACAACCAAAAAAAAGCAAACAAACAAAACAAACAAACAGCTATACACGGAATAAACCAGTGGGGCCAGGAGACAGGGAATGCTGGGCAGGGATTGCATTGTTTCTGGAACATCAGGTGCCCAGGGCCTGTCTGCTGCCAGCCTCCCTCTGACCAGTCCACCCTGCCCCACAGAAATGATGGCCCGTTTGTAAACCACAATCAAAATGCCACCTGGAAAGTACCCATTATCCAGTCACCGATGATGTGTTAAGCACGTGGTCTGTGTTCAGCTCTGTGACAGGTGGAGGATAGTCAGACATGGTTCCCACCCTCCTTGTGTGCCATCTCCCCCATGGAGCAGCCAGGGGTCCCAGGGAAGTGGGCCCAGGCAGTTCCTGAGTGAGTGGAGAATAATGGCCCACCCTTACCGAGAATTTATTCTACACCAGATTCTGTTCAAGCCTAACGGGGAGGGGCAGGAAAGTCCTGCAACCACCCCATAAGGTGGGAACTGTGTTATCCCATTTTACAGGTTAGAAATCTGAGGCTTGAAGAAGTCAAGTGCAGCAGGTGAGTGACTAGACAGGGATTCAGAAACCAGGACGCTGGGACTGCGGCTCATGGCCTGAACTAGGGGTCTGCAGACTGTTTCCAGAAAGGGACAGAGGGGAAATATTTTAAGGCCATGGGCTGTGCAGTCTCTGCCCAGCTACTCGAGTCTGCCATCATAGCATGAAAGCAGCTGTAGACAATGTATAAATGATGAGCTGAGTGCCAATAAGCTGTTATTTATAAAAACAGGCAATGGGCCACGTTTGGCCCGTGGGTCATAGTTTGCCAACTTCTGTCCCAAACCACCCACAACTTCCAGTGGCTGGGAGGCTTTTGAGTTGGACCAGAGGCAACTGAAGGAAACCTAGTTCCTAGTTCCTTCATGTGGAAGTGTGAGCGTCAGACAGGAAGGAATCAATACCGGCTTTAAGAGCCTGGGTCTCTAATTAAGAATGACAAACAATCCATCCCTGGGCAGCTCTTTACCAAAGGAAGCTGCAGAGAAACAGTGGAAAATACTCAGAAACCACACAAGAGTTGGTTGTATTTGGTCTTTAGAGCCATGTTTAGAATGTTAGCAGCACTGACTTCATATGAATGTAGAAAAAGTCAAGGTCAAAAGCCATGTTTGAATGTAATTCATTTTGAAAACACTTCGCCAAAGAATTTTCCTGCTTGTGGCTGTGCTGTCATTGGCTCTTGGTTTCTAAGGGCAGGCAATCATTTTACTCAACTCCTGTTGCTGACAAGGATGCGACCCTGGAGTTCAGAGGGTGCCATGGGCTGGAAGTGGATTGACTCCATACTTACAAGAATCCACGTGCTGTTAAAATTAACAGCTCAGAGGATTTTCTGAGTGTGTGTTCCATTTCCGGGTGGACCCAAGGACCATGTGACAGAGGACAGCGCTGGTGGGCTGTTCCTCACTCCCCGTGGAGCCACCTTCTTGCTCTGAGGGCCCCCCCTTGGACACTGGTCAGGGTCCATGTGGGATTGTCAGAGTCAGTGTGGACAGACTACTTTGGGGGCAGAGACCCTCTTTCAGCACAGCATTTGTGATGTACTCCTGCTTAGTAGCCTCTTTATTCCATCCCAGCTGATGAAAGGAGGAAACGAACCACAGCCTGGCTGAGGGTTTGCCGGAAGTTCAGGTACTAGCTGGCCTGGGGTGGCTGATTCCTCATTTTTCCACCCTGAATTCACTGGGCCTACCCATTGCTCTAGTGTCACAGAGATTAAGATGTGAGTCCTTGATTCTTAGGAAGGTACTTGGTGGCTGGGGCCAAGCAGATGGTTAGCTCACACAGACTGTGCAGGCAGAGGAGAGTCCGGTCCATTCCGTCGCTTATGGAGATGCTCACGGGGCCTCACAGAAAGGCCCAGCTGGCGTAGCTCAGTGGTTGAGCATTGACTTCTGACCAGGAGGTCACAGTTCCATTCCTGGTCAGGACACATGCCTGGGTTGCAGGCTTGAACCCCAGTAGGGGGCATGCAGGTGGCAACTGATCAATGATTCTCTTGCATTGTTTCTATCTCTCTCTCCCTCTCCCTTCCTCTCTGAAATAAAAAGAAAGAAAAAAAGAAAGGGTTGGCTGTTTAGGGCATGAGGATGTGGTGCCCCATCACCAAAGACGAACCAAGCGTAAACCAAGCAAACCCACTTACGGAGTCATCCTCTTGTTCCCATACCTACACCGCAGGGGTGAACTGGTGAAAGGGTGGGAAGAGCTACCTTGAACTTTGTCCGAAGAACCCCAAACCACTCCTCCTAATAATCACCACTTTGTTCTCTAATTGACATGATCAACCTGCCTCATTTTTCTATGAACACAGGCGAGCCTTTGACTCCCAGTAGGACAGTGTACATTGTGGGGAGGGGGGAGGCTCTGGTCCCTAAACCTGGCTACACATAAGACTTCCCAAGAGAACTGGTGAAAAATGAATGTCAAAGTCCCATCCCCAGAAGCAAATTTAGCCTCAGTACTTTCTGTAAGTCATTGGTTCTTAAGTCCCTGGAGGGCTTGTTAAAGCACAGATCGATGGGCCCCGCCCTCATAGTTACTGATATAGGAGGTCGGCTGGGGCCCAAGATCCCACATTGCTAACCAGCCCCCAGGTGTGCGGCTGGTCCAGGGAAGTCTCTGTGAGCACAGCTGCTGTAAGACATGCCTCCAGTCTCAGGGCAGTGACCTCATGACCTAGGTCAGAGCAGGGAGGCATCCTCTCCACACCATGGAAGGAAAGCTAGGATCTTTGTCGGCCGGGTTGGCCCTTTAATATTCTCTACCTGCTCTGCCCAACACTACAGCCATTAATCCCATGTGGCTCTTTACATGGACATTTAAATTTATTAAAGGTAAATTTAATGTTTTGTTCTTCAGTTACATGAGCTCCTTTGCAAGTAAGTGCTCTCAGCCACATGTTCCCGACAGCTGCTACATGGGACAGCACAGATGCAGGACGTTTTGTCTTTGCAGAGAGTTCTACTGGACAGCGCTGTTCTATAAGAATTCTAAAAATTGCTGCTTTCTTTTTCTTCAAGGTTTGGCTGTTAGCCCCATTTTTTTTTCTTGGCTGTGAAAAAGAAACCAAACAAAATCCTTTTACATGTTAGCTCTTTCCTCTTTGCTTGCTCAAGATAGCAGGCCTCACCCATCTCTTCATATCAAGTTGGGGTGAAGGTCATAGACATTTTAATGCAAAAGGGATAAAAACGTTAGTAATTTTTTCCCAAAATATTGCCCCCATTACCCATGTTATGAAACCCCCCGGAGGTGAGGTCCACAGGGAAGCCTTGCGGGCAACAAGAATCAGGCAACACACAAGGAGAATTCACGGGGCCGTGTGGCAGTCCAACAGCCACCGCCACTGGAGGGAAGCCTGGGACTGGGCTGAGAGTGGACCAGACCCAGGCGTTCTCTGGGTGTTTTAGAAAGTTCACATTCCTCCCACAAGCTGTAGAGGATGGCTGGGGAGGCCTCCTTTTGTTTCGCCCCCTGTAGGAGAAAACTGGATTCACTCAGAGATGCTTGAGTGCCCCGCATTCAACACAGGCCTTTTCGGAGAGCTAATTCTGTTTCATTCTTTTGTTACAGATTCGGCTGAACAGCAGGGGACTGATCTACTCCGTGGGCTTGCTGCTGGCCTCTGTCTTTGTCACAGTAGGTTTGCAGCTCTCTCCTCACTTTCGAGCTCCCATGTTTTCCCTCCCCCACCCCCACCCCTACCCCCACCCCCCTGCAGTTTTTTGGCAACAGAGTTTGTTTGGACACCAGATGGGCTGGGCCTCCTGGTGGATCAGGACAATCAGCCTCCAGATGTTCCTTCTCCTTCGTAACTGTTTCTTCTAGAAATGGATCCTAGCAACCCACTAGCAAGCCCTCTCTTACTGAAAGGAAGCGGCCTCCTCTCAGAACATGGCCCTGTGGCATGCCAAACATAAATCATTTCATCAAAAACAAGGGGGAGACCTCACTTGTTCTGCAAAATTAGTTACAGAATAGTAGACTTTAATTAATTGTTCCAGGTTACTGAATATCTTCATAAATCCATGGATTTGACCATTACTCAGCAACTAAGAAGATATTTTATTGACAGTTCCCCTTTTATGCCATCTACTTTCTTGGCCATTACATCTCTTTGTATAATTTAACATTCCATCTCAACTGACACGTTTGGTGCAAACAAATTTGCACCAACACATGGACTGACCCACATGAAGTGTCCAGTAACATATAAGTATGCTGTTGACTTTTCACATGAAACATTGAGACACAATATGTTTTTTCCTGAAATTTTCAAGGAAATATAAACTGAGTTATACCTAGCATGTTAACGTGCATATGCTAGAGAAGGGGAATTCAGTAGGGCAGGCAGGAAGGAGGAGAGGTCATCTACGGGATCAAGAAGGGAGTCAAATGTCAAGGTTTTACAAAAGCAAATACTTACTATACAAAAGTGAAAATCTATATAATTTATTCTTTTGACATTCTTCAGGCCATATGACTTAGGGTTATGATACTTGTAATAGCCACACACTGTGCTTAATAGTCTGCATATATTTTCCCATTTGGAGCTCACCACACCCCCATGAGCTGGTCACTAATATCAGCTCCATTGTGCTGATGACAGTAGGGAAGTTGACACCAAATGATGGAGGAGCAAGCTGTCTGACAGGGCACGCTTGTAGCACAGTGCTTCTCCTTCCACTGGCTGTAGTTGTACATTTATAGGAGATCGGTCTACCGCTCGCTGGGCTTTTGAAATGGGGCTGTGGGAAGATGGAAGAGAAGTAGGTTTGGGGAACAAGAGCAATTTCAAGCATCTTAAGTTTGCAGTACGTATTTGACTCTAAGTGGGGAGGCCAAGAGAGCCATTGGAAAGATGAGTCTGGGTTCAGGAGAAGTGTCCAAGCTGGTGACACCGGAATGTAGATGGTATTTAAAACCATGCAATTGGATGAGCTCACCAAGGGAGTGAGCATAGACAGGAAAGAGAAGAGCCTTAAGATCCGAGTCAGAATGATGAGGATAAAACCACAAAAGAAACAGAGAAAGAGCATTCGGAGAGGTAAGAGGAAAACCAGAAGAGTGTGGCAATGGGAAGTCATGTGGAGAAGGTGCTTCACGGTGGAGTGATCTGTGCTGTTGAGGGAGAGAGTCCCGAGTGTTGGCCATTAGGGTTAGAAATGTAGAGTCATCCGTGCTCTTGACATGGTGGCTTGCAGAGCAGTGGGGCAGAAGGTTGAGTGGAATAAGTTAGCGGAGAATGGAAGGAGAAAAACTGGAGGCAACTGGTATTTACAACTCTTTCAAGTTACCTTGCTGTAAAGAGAGCAGAGAAATGGAAACCCAGAAAAGTGTAGATGAGAGAGATAGCAGCATTCTTTTATGCTAATTGGAATAATGCAAGGATGGGGTTGGGGAGTGGAGATGAAAGAGAGACAATTGCTGGAGCCATGACCTTAAGCAGTACAAGGAGGTGGGGAGATGTCATGCCCACATGGAAGAATGGGCTGTGGACTTTTCTGTGGGCAGGACTGTGGGCTGTGGGTCATTAACCGAGGGAAGGTGGGCAGGTAGATGTGGTGGCAGGAGCTCTGTGAAATGGGAACAAGGTCATGAGCTGACAGTGAGAATAGAGAAGGGAATGTTGGCCACTTAAAGAGAGAGGAGAGGCCTGAAATAGCTGTCTAAGAAAGGGAGAGATGGCGGACTAGGAAATGTGGATGATTGCCATAAGGCATGAATGGCCCACTTAAGGTTTGTGGTCTTAAATTTAAAATGAGGCCCATCAGCCCATCAGCCTGGCCAGCATTTTCCTCCAGCCCAAGTCAGCTGCAAGGAAGCAGCATGTAGTACATGGAAGCTTGGCATGAACCAAAGGGCTATGGCTTAACCGGCAAAGACCACAAAGCTACAGGTAGGCCAAGGAATGGAGGCGGATGCCAAGGAGTGACTGTAGCAATTGCTGAAGGAACTTAGGGGGGGTAAGGATGGAACAGGGTACAAGGTGGGTGAAGTACAATGAAACAGTGATGGTTTCAGTGAATTCTGGGTAGTGGGTTCTGGGAGTTGTAGAGAGTTGAGGTACCAGAATGGAGCAAGCAGGAAAGACAGAAAATTGCCAGGAGAAAATGGGGTGTTTGAGCCAGGTGGGGTGGCTCAACGGTTGAGCGTCAACCCATGTACCAAGAGGTCACTAGTTCAAATCCCAGTCAAAAGGCATGTCCAGTTTGGGTTCCCCAGTGGGGGTCGTGCAGGAAGCAGCCAACCTATGTTGATGTTTCTCTCTCATTGATAAATCAATAAAAACATATTTAAAAAAATAAAGTGGGATGTTTGACAAGCCCTAGGCAGCAGGGATGTCCAACAGAACCCTCCACAGTGCTGGAGATGTCTTGTATCTGCTCTGGACAGTGGTCACTGGCCACCTGTGGGCATTAAGCACTTGAAATGTGGCTAGTGCAGCTGAGGAGCTCAGCTTCTGATTTTATCTGATTTACATGTAAATGTGGGTGACCACGTGTGGCTAGTGGATATAGCACAGGTCGAGGGTGTGGCGTGGGAGTGAGGGGCTAAAATAGGGTGGAGGGCAAGGACTCAAGAGACCTGGTATTGGGTAGGTCGCCCTGGTGGATCCTTAAATCACTAAAGGGACAACTGGAGTGCCTGCCGACCACAGGAGCGGCAGTGAGGGGGGACTTAGGGCCCTGAGGAATGCCAGGAGTGCCCAGGGTTGACTGCAAGAAGGAAGGTACAGTGTGGCTGTTGGGAGACTTTAGCTTCTAAGAGGAAAAAGGAAAAGGGAATGGAAGCAGCAATGAGGAGCAAGGGGGACTTCTTCCTGGCCTACAGGCACAGGGACTTGAAGAGGTGAAGCCACCCCCTGCCCCTGTGGGAAGGAGAGCTAAGGTCATATTGGGACAAAAGGGTCAAGTGTCAGAAGGGGTGATGCCAGCACCAAGCGGTACAGGGCTGGAGTCCAGGGAAGGAGAGGCGGCTGCTGTGACTATCTTTGTTCCTCTCATTATTATGACTTTTTCAAGTGATTTTCCCACAGCCAGCAGGCTCTGACTTTCCCTCTTCTTGATTATGATGGTCTTACGTTCCACGATATGAAAGATGGACTTTGTGGGCCGAGAGAGAAGCCGTGCCCCGCCCCAGGGCCCCCCGGCTGCTGCCCGCTGACCCCTCTGTGTGTTGCAGGTGTTTGGCGTTCACCTGAACAAGTGGCAGCTGGACAAGAAGCTGGGGTGTGGATGCCTTTTCCTGTACGGCGTGTTCCTATGCTTCTCCATCATGACGGAGTTCAACGTGTTCACCTTCGTGAACTTGCCCATGTGCGGGGAACACTGATCCACCGGGCCGCCCACCGAGGCTCCATTCCTTCTTTTCTGTGCAATACAAGACCCGGCCGCACCCCGAGTCATACGGGCCTCCAGGGCCGGGCTTCCATCTCTCCCTTGCTGTTCACAGGCCTCCGCTCCTGCCTCAGCGGCCCAGGCGCTCCCTGCCCCCCCCCTCGCCCCTCCTCCTCCTGGGGACCTACCTGCCACCCAGCCTTTCTTGCCCACCCCTTCCTGCCCCCTCGGTGTGAAGACTTTTCAATATCCACGTGAATTTTCAAGCTCCATTTTGAACAGTGACTGAGATTCTAGAAAAACTGGCTGCTAACTGGCCCAAGCCAGGCAAAACTTATTACAATCCCTCCTCCTTTTTTAAGTTATTGGATGGAAGACTAACCTAATGTATGGCCTGGGACTGTCAAAGAGCTAGCGAGGAGAGGGTACATTGATTATAGGGGGTGCTTGGGATTTTGTTCTGTTTTCAGGTGATTCCTAGGTTATGGGTTTGGAGGGTTGAATCTCTTTGAAGGGGGCTCTCCCTTCTGCCCCTTTTCTTCCAGAGATCAAGAGCTTCTCTTGCATCTTCTTCCCCTGGGCTCTGGATTGGTAGATGAGCTACAGGTTGTCCCCGCTGTGTCTTGGGATCAGATCCCAAGCATGTTGGAGCATGCATGGATCTAGCGCTTAGTAGAGGAACAGTTGAGCCAGGCCACCGGAAAAGATGCATGACATTTCATACCCAAGTGTGCCCCCACAGGCCCACAGGAGTAACCTAGGGAGCACAAGGTTTTCTGAGGAAGAAGGCAGCTTCCCACATGTCCATTATGACCTTCACTTTCTCACTAGGTTCTTTCTAGTCTTTTAAGCAATAGTTCTAGCCTGCCTGAGGCCTTTGTCGAGGGTCCCTGGTTGAACATCTATTTGTGAGGTACCAGGCAGTCAGCAGCCGAAGCTTCCCGACCTGTGAGTCCCTGAGATGTGCTGTCATTGCTTGACATTTGGGGTGACAGGGAGTGACCCAGAGGCCACCACTGCTTTTTGTGCAGGAATTACAGACACTGGTTTCTTGGAAAATGGAGAGAAGCGCACTTTGCACAGACATCGTCAATAAAGTCCCAATTTGCCACTTGGTACTGAGTACACTGGACCCTGAAAGCTGGCTCTTGGGCCAGCGTCCTTCCTCCAGGACACCATGGCCAAGCTGCCCAGCTCCACCCGTCCCCTCCTGGAGGGATGGCAAGGGAAGGAGAAAACAGAACTGACATCTTTGAAACCACAGAATGTGCTAAATGCAGACAAGCTCAAGGGCATAAGTTATTGTGACCATCGTTGCCAATCACTGCTCAACAGCCCTGCTAGATTTTGTATGATGCTGAATTATTATGCAGACTAATTCCACCAGTTGAGACCCACCCATGCTTGTTACACGTGTATTTATTGAAACTGTGGACTCTTGCCCGTGCTCCCCCTATATTTACTTTAAGCACTGATCACTTATAATTCATTCGGTATGGTTTTCTCTGTCCCTTGTACTACACATTCTGGTCTGAATTGTAAAAATAACCTGCTACAAATTGGTCGAACGTCTCTGTCGAGGGTGCGAAAGGAGGCGAGCATTAGCCAATGGGGCACCTAGCTGATGGAGGCCCGGGAGAGGAAATCACCAATTTGGGCTCTCAGAGCTAAGACACACTCAATGATTCTGTTGCACATTTTGCACTGGTTTATGGCGATTGTTTTCTTGGACGGATAGTGTAAAATAAACTTCTCTGTTCTGTATCCTTTCTTGAGCAGTGCGCGTTACTTTCTCATCGGATTCTGGAGTGTTGCCTGTTTGGCATTGAGGAGATGCAATGCAAGGGGAAAAAATCACAGTCCCCATGGGGTCAGGTATTTCGCCCTTCTGTGTCTGGGTGGACTCACCTGGGAAGCTGGTAAATGTCTGGTGGATTACAAGTACGAAGTGGCAAGTCATGGATCCCCTCTAAATCCAGAACGGTCTTCTGACCTATGGTCCTGTGGATCACGTGTGACATTACGTTAGAGAGCTTTCTTTCAGCTGGACATGAGAGGAAGAGCATGCCAGTACTGATGACCTTCAGCAATGCTCAAGGTCACCATCCCATCTGAAAACCCTGTTCTTGTCCTGCTTGACTCTCAAGGAAGAATTAATTCCCCAGATCTGAAAGCAGACCAAGGTGAGTGAACACATCAGGTTTCCACCTGAAAGTCAACATTAATGTCTTTATAGGAACTAGGAGAAAAATATCTACCAATTCACAGCACCAACTTTTATTTAACTGTATCTAAAAATGTATTTCCAGGTGATGGAAAAACACTAGGTACTTAGCTTTGTTTTGAGTGTTTACATTTAACAATGTTTTACTAGCTTATTTGTGCATTTTGTACATATACTCTGGACATTGGACAGGGAATTTTCATCATGCTGATTAGTGCTTACAAACCATAAGATCCTTTTACATGACATATTTTGTTAGACTAGTCTTAATTAGTTTTACTTAATTAGTTTTACTCTAAGCAAAGACATTTGATCCAATGTTTGATCTTTTTAAACACATTTGCTGTGAAATCTTAGGAAACCATAATTTTATGCTAGATTTCTCAGAGTCCAAATTCTGGGATGAGGGAGAGTTTCCGTGTTTCATGCACAATGAAAGTTTCCTTTCTGAAATGAGCATTTGGCCTATTTCTGCTCTGATCTCAGCCAGACGTGAATTGTGTCTTTAGTTGTCGATTGAGAATGTGATTCTAAATGAGATGGCCGTCCAGTGATGCAGAACTGCTGATGTTGCTGTTTGCCCTGCTTCCACATGCTGGGATGCACTTGGGAGGGTTTCAGATCGGTTTGAGGGAAGAACTTCTTATCAATATCCCAAACCTGGCAGTATGGCCACAGAAACTCTCAGCATTTTTCTGGGATGTGCTAGTTTCGGTAAATTTCCCAGCCTGTGATCTCATGCACAGGGGGATGTCTCTGTGGCTCTAAACAAGGGGAGGCACACACAGGAGCTTGCACATCCTCCTAAACACATCTTAGTGGACTCCACAAGGAGGTGCTTCCAGAGCATTTTCTTTTTCTGGGAATTGTGTTCTCAATCTGGCCCAGGCCTGCTGAGGGTCACTGTCCACACACACGCCCTTCAGGTGGCCTTGGATACACTGAGAGGCCACAGCAGCACATTTTCAGAGAGCTTTTCCCCATCCCAAAAGAATAGGGAGAGTATACTTCTTAGGGAGAGTCCACTTTTATAGATACACTAGAGGCCCACTGCACAAATTCGTGTACAACTGGGGTCCGGCTGGCCCACCCTGATCGGGGCCAATCAGGCTGGGCCAGTCAGGGGGAGGGGATGGGGGAGGTTGGCCGGCATTGCCCCCTGGTCGAATTCCCGGTTGAGGGGACAATTTTCATATTAGCCTTTTATTATATAGGATGTTTTGTATTTATCTACAAAAAGACCTGAAGGCTGCTCATTGTTTTCCTGAGTCTGTTGCTTCAGAACTTGTTGTTTACAATCAGAAATCTACAGGTGATTTGAGACCATCTGTATCCCAAGCAGCAAATCTGAACTCATTTTTAACACCTAGGCTTCAAAAAAAAAGCCTAAAAGGAAGAAAAAAAAAAAAGGAGGGCAGGTGATATAAAGTCCAGACAGTTTTCACTTGTGGCATATAAGATAGGAATAACATCCAACTTGCAATACAACTTGTAATTAAATGTAGAACTTTACCTAATTGTTCATGAAAATATTCAAGATAGGATAATTATCACATTAGCAGAATATTATCCGAGTATTTTGACCTATTTCTATCAATTATTTTGAAGTAAATGGGATATTTCCATTTTGGATTTTGAATAGTCTCGTACTAATTAGTCAATCTCATTTACTTTGATATTTTCTACAATAGCTGCTCAACACACACACACACACCACTTATCTGACACCAAAACTCTGTATGAAAACAGTCCAATTGGTCTTTTAAATTTTTCCAAATATCAAGCTGTTTATTATGATACATCTTCAAGAATGGGGTGGATTTAGCCAACTTTTCTTTGATAAATAAAAACCCACGTGTCCATTACATCATCATCCAGAGATGTGGGCGTCTACAGAGATGTCAAAAAAATTAGGAACTGAGGCCATGGACGAGCAGAGATTAGCCACATGCACAAGATAAATTATGCCATCCCCTGGAATTGATTTCACATTGGACATTATGCTTAGTTTCAAATCACAGACCAGAGTAATAAGTCTTCCCCCTCAAAAAATCTTTCAGATGGCTTACTGTTGCCCCCAGGACACTTATTTTCTTAACTAGAGTCCCAGTGCATGAAATTCGTGCACTAGTAGGGTCCCTAGCAGCTGCCAGCTGGGGCCTCCCTCCCTTCCCCCAGCTGGCCCACCCCCTGGTTGAACTCCTGGAAGAACTCTGGTCAAGGGACAATTTGCATACTATGCTTTTATTATATAGACTAGAGGCCCGGTGCACAAAAATTTGTGCACTCAGAGAGGGGGGTATCCCTCAGCCTGGTCTGTGCCCTCTCGCAGTCTGGGACCCCTGGAGGATGTCCACCTGCTGGCTTAGGCCTGCTCCCCGCGGGATTAGGCCTAAGCTGGCAATCAGACATCCCTCTGGCAGCCCAGGAGCCCTGGGGGATGTCCACTTGCCAGCGGGGAGCAGACCTAAGCTGCAGTCTGACATCCTTAGTGCTGCTGAGGAGGCAGGAGAGGCTTCCACCACCACCGCTGTACTGGCAGCCATCAGCCTGGCTTGTGGCTGAGCAGAGCTCGCCCTGTGGGAGCCACTGACCACCAGGGGGCAGCTCCTGCATTGAGCATCTGCCCCCTGGTGGTCAGTGTGTGTCATAGTGACCAATCATTTCCAGTCGTTCTGCTGTTAGGGTCAGTTTGCATATTACCCTTTTATTATATAGGATAGAGGCCTGGTGCATGGGTGGGGGCCAGCTGGTTTGCCCTGATGGGTGTCCCAGATCAGGGTTGGGATTCCACTGGGGTGCCTGGCCAGCCTGGGTGAGGGGCTGATGGCTGTCTGCAGCTGGTCACACCCCCTTCAGGGTGGGGGTCCCCACTGTGGTGCCTGGCCAGCCTGGGTGAGGGGCTGATGGCTTTTTGCAGGCTGCTCAAGGCCCCCCCAGTGGGGACCCTCACCCCATGGAGGTTTGGCCAGCTTGAGTGAGGGGCTGATGGCTGTTTCCAGGCTGGCCACACCCCTTTTAGGGTGGGGGGTCCCCACTGGGGTGCCTGGCCAGCCTGGGTGAGGGGCTGAGGGCTGTTTTCAGGCTGGCCAAGTCCCCCCAGCGACGGAAGCTCCCAGCCTCTCCTTTTTTTCTTTTTTATTCTGGGATTTACCTTCTATAATGGAAACTTTGAAGCCTTGAGAGGAGCTCAGAGCCGGCCAGGGCGGGTGGGAAGCTTGGCTTCCTCCATTGCCAGGGCAACCCACTCCTGCTTGCTCCAGCTTTGTGGCCACGGCTGGCTGAAAGCAGGTATCTGGGGTTTATTTACCTTCTATAATTGAAACTTTGTTGCTTTGAGTGGAGCTCAGAGCCAGCCAGGGTGGGCAGGAGGGAAGCTTGGCTTCCTCCATCATTGGGGCAACCAAGCCTTCTGCTCGCTCCAGCCCCATGGCTACCAGCTACCATCTTGGTTGGATTAATTTGCATATAGTCGCTCTGATTGGCTGGTGGGCATGGCTTAAGGCATAGCAAAGGTACGGTCAATTTGCGTCTTTGTCTTTTATTAGTGTAGACTAGAGGCCCGGTGCACAAAAATTTGTGCACTCAGGGGGAGGGGGGCCCTCAGCCCGACCTGTGCCCTCTCGCAGTCTGGGACCCCTTGGGAGATAACGACCTGCTGGCTTAGGCCTGCTCCCGGGTGGCAGAGGGCAGGCCCAATCCCTAGGTGCAGCCCCTGGTCGGGCTCAGAGCAGGGCCAATTGGGGAGTTGGGGCGTCACCCCCTGTCATGCACAGAGCAGGGCAGATCGGGAGGTTGCGATGCCACCCTCAGTCACGCTCAGGGTAGGGCCAGTTGGGGGGTTGGGGCACTGCCCCCTGTCACACTCAAGGCAGGGTCGATGGGGAGGTTGCAGTGCCACCCCCTGTCAAGCACAGAGCAGGGCCCATCAGGGGGGTTGGGGCTCCATACCCTGTCACACACCGAGCAGGGCCCATCAGGGGGTTGGGGAGCTCCCCCCTGTCATGCACAGAGCAGGGCGGATCAGGGGGTTGGGGCACCACCCTCTATCACCCACAGAGCAGGGCCAATCAGGGGGTTGGGGTGCCGCCACTCTCACACTCAGGGCAGGGCCGATGGGGAGGTTATGGCTCTACCCCGTCACACACAGAGCAGGGCCCGTGGGGGTGGGGGGGGTTGGGGCACCGCTCCCTGTCACACACAGAGCAGGGCCAATCAGGGGGTTGAGGCGCCGCACCCTGTCACACACAGAGCCGCAGGGCGATCAGGGGGTTTGGGCGCTACCCCGTGTCACACTGATCCCGGTGCCAGGAGGCCTCTCAGCTACGCTGATCTCGGTGCTGGGAGGCATATTACCCTTTTACTATATAGGATAGAGGCCTGGTGCACGGGTGGGGGCCGGCTGGTTTACCCTGAAGGGTGTCCTGGATCAGTGTGGGGGTCCCCACTGGGGTGCCTGGCCAGTCTGGGTGAGGGGCTGAGGGCTGTTTTCAGGCTGACGAGTGACTGAAGCTCCCAACTGCTCATTTTTTTCTTTTTTTTTTTT